TCCCATGCCACTGGTATTCCCAACCAGGCTTCTTGGCCCTCAGTAGCCTGAGGCTCTGGCGGCTATTGGTCTTGCTGTGGACAAAGACAACGAGAGTGTTGAGCTGCACGTGGAGTCACATCACACTGGATACACCGCTCTGCAGTCCATTAAACCTCATCCACATCGCATGCAAGCGAATGAGTCCAGGGCCCCCGGGAACTTGGCCCGCTCTTGATCATTCTCCGCTTTTCGCATCGGCTTTTGCAAGCTCCAATTGTTATGGGGGCGTGGCAACGGCCGACGATGTTGCCCTCAATGCCGGCCAGTGGACGAGTCGTCCTGCATTTACACGCACATGTGGCTTTCCCTTTCTTCTTGAGCCACGAGAACGATACGACTGACGATCATATTCGAATCTTTATATAGATATTTAAAAATAGGCAAAACAGAGCCGCAGTGCGTGTCGGGCATAGAAGGACTGGTCCTGGTGATACAGAGCTCTGACGAGCGGGATCATGCCATGAACCCTAGCCGCCAGCGAATGTGGGCTAATCGCTTGGGAACCGCTCAACGCAGTCGGTGCCTTCCGGCCGCGTCCAGACAAGACCTGGCTCGAGAAGGTTGGGGGCGACGGGGGAGAAGTCAATCCAGCAACTCTTCTGGCTTCTGCAATTGCCGTGGGTGGTTGGACTTGGGTAGCACCTACCTCGTATGTCCTCGGTGGTGTGCTTGGTGGGTGGGGTAGCTGCCGGGGGCTAAGGAAGGTAAAAGTTGAGGGTACATGTGACCACCCGTCCTCAAAGTATCTCCACACCTGCAACTCGCATCACAGATACAATCGGCATCTCTTTCTCGCATGTATTTTTTATGCACTTAGGCGCCGAGACCCCTGTCTGATCTGTGCCAATCCGCAGCTACCGACGCCCTATTGGCCCACGGCTCCTTCCCTAACCGCCCGCCTCCCGCCAATCACCAGCCCTCAGCACACTTCCTCAACTCGACGCGCAGCCATCACGCAGCACTATTCTCCGGACCTGCTGCATGCTGGCCGAGCCACAGAGCTCTCGCATATGGGCCGCCGTAAAGACCGTCGTTTGGCCACCATTGACATGGCCCCATTATGCAGTCGTCGCTGTGGAGCGCTACAGACCTCTGGCAGGGTCCCTCCCCTCACTCACATGGTTATCTCCTGCGGGCCTAGAGTTCCACAGCGCTTGCAGAGATGAGTTGAGTCGGCGCTTGCTTGCTTGCACCAATTCGCGGCCGGCCGACCGTTCTCGTTGCCAGCGATGGTGCCGCCAAGCTGGGTCCGAATCAGGTCCGCTACTGCACTCCTCATGTACGTGTAGGGATGGTGGTTGTCTGTTGGTTCGCAACCTTTATACTTCCCGTCCTCCCACCCATCTCCATTCTCAATTCCCCTTCCCATTCCTACCTAAACCCGGTGATCGCTATCCACTTGAACCCTTATCGTGGCTTTGGCTTTGCCATCATACAACCTTAATTCCAAAAGGAAGAGCACTCTGGCTCATATGTGATTCCTCTTTGAAGTCTTCCACGGACTTGATCCCTCGCCCGCCTACGTGAGAAGACGACGACGACGACATCCCTGGTGGACAGTCGCTTCAGTGAACATCCGTCTTCTTAACCGACCTCAACGCCCTTCCCTCTCAGCTTCTCTGGACGATTTTTGACCAATTCGAGTCTCATCGCACACTCACCTTCGCCATGGGAAAATTAATCAAGAACCATCTGGCACGCCTCGTCATCCTCGCTGCCGCAACCTGTAAGCAACATCCCTAGAACAAAATACCCAACTTTCACGAACAATGCTAACCCACCACCTAGACCAAGTAGCCGCCGCAGTCCACGGCTTCTTCTGGCCCAAGATCTTCTGGGACTTCCTCACCACCAACCTCGACGGCGCGGTCAAGCCGTTCCCCTCCCTCCAGATCATTAACCTCGTGCTGGGCATCGCCATGCTCGGCCTCGAGTGGCCCCTCGGCTTCCTCGCGGGGTCCACCTTCCACCGGTCCCTCGAGCTCCGCCTCATCGCCATCCCCCTCCTCGCCCTCGCCTCCGTCCTCATCTACCAGGGCACCAACTCGGCGCTCTACTACATCGTCGGCCTCGTCATGTACTTCATCGCCTACAGCGAGGGCGAGATCATCTGCGCGGAGCCCTGGACCCTGCCCCAGCGCGGCCGGGACTTTGCCGTCAAGGTATGAGGGGTGTACCTTGTTAGACGCAAAATAATTCCACCGACCAACAAAAAAAATGCCCAAAAATCGACATAAAAAAGCACATACGCACATACACACATACTGCACATATTCCCGACGACTATACATATTACGACACGGAGCTTTCGAGTCATGAATACAGATATTGGAGAGCGGAGATCTCGTCCATGAAATGACGGTTCATTTACCTGGCGCATCATTGATTTTTCTAATTCACGGGGGCCAAAACATACCATCTGGCGTTTGATGATTTGAGTTGTATACCATTTACTTGCATTTATGGCCTGGTTTCCTAGCCTGGCATAGGGGAGGGGAGTGGAGCTTCCCTGGACCACGGAGAGCGGGTATCCTGGCACGCACTGATGTCAAAGTTTGGCATATGGCGGCCATCACAGCCGACCTACATACATATATAGGCTTTTTAGAGATGATACCCCGTACTTAATAACAAACTGTTATACATATATATCTTTCAGAGTATCATCCAGAGCCGCTCATTAATCTCATCTTTCGCACTGCTGTGAGTGGATGCTCTTCGTTATCACGATAAGATTATGTGTGCTTGGGTGGAATGATCGAAAGCTGAGATGATGAATGTTGACGTCACTGGAACCCACCAAACACATTGGTAGCAAAGATCACATTCGCAGCAATTGCGCGTTCATATGAGTATTAATCGAATGTTTGCATTCATTTCTTGAATTTCATTAAAGAGCTGAGAGTTGAGCGTATGTCTAAGAGCTAATACGATATCAATCGTTCGAGATATGGAACTGGCGCCCCGTAGGACTTCCTCGAGGACCTCTTGGTGCCATCTCTGCGACCTTGGTTCCTCTGGCTTGGTTTGTTACCAACCATCATGCCCCAAATACATGCGGAGGCCAGATTCCACGTAAGCTTACTCCACGCAATCGCCCATCGCTCATTCCACTCTCATGCTCCGTTTCGATCTTGGCCTCATTAATTAGTGGACGCGCATCGAGCTCTTGGAGTCGTTGGTGACTCCTTGTCGTTCGGGCATCTGTGCCTTAGGTTAGTACATGTCCAGAACAGTTCTTGTGACGGACGTGCATGGATACTTACCTCAGACGTCTGAAGGTTGCCCTTGGTCAGGATGACCTTGATGGCCTCGTCCTCGACCTCGCTGTCCTTGTAACTTGAGCCGTCCTCCTTGACGAACTCTGAAGAGAGCAGGTTCTTCGCGGCGGCATCAAACGTTCCCTGAGCGCCTTGCCTATACGGTGTGCGTTAGCCTTGTGAACCGACAGAGAGCAGAGCGAGCTTGTTGTCACTTACTTGTGTGTGCAGTAGACCTGGATGGGGGAGATGAACTGGACAAAGGGAATGGACTTGTCGCTCAACCACTTCTGGTAGGTCTCGGTGTCATCGAGGAAGACGATGAAGTCGTCGTGCTGTCCCTTGTAGTGGATCTTGCTCTTGGGGGCGCCGCCTCGAGTCATGATGAATTAATTTTGGTGTCGCGTGACTAGGTGTGGTGGAAGTTCTGGTGTAAGTGGAGAGAGAGGTGATGGATGTGTAATCTCGTGGTTTGTGTGTATGTGTGAAAGTGTGAATGATGAAGGGAAAGGAAAGGCTCGAGATTGAAGGTGAGGGGGAACAAGCTTTTAAAGGCCACTCCAAAAGGTACCTTCCCCGTGTACCTACGAAGTTTCCATCTATGAGGCAAGAGCAACTATGGGAGCAATGCTCTCTGCTGTGGCCGGCGCTGTGGTGACAATTGGCAAGTGGGGCACAGACTGGGGAAGCAGGAGCTCCAAGCTCAATGGTCGACGTCATTCCGACGCATAATTAGGCACAACGCACGGGATACTTCCCTGTACCGCCGCAGTCCCCACTTGAGCCAACGTACCTGATTCAATGACGAAGGGAAGCGCTGATCAAGGCACGGGAGCTCATGCTTCGTGCGCCGTCTCACTGCCCAGATGCCAATTTCGGGGGGCTGGCTGGCGGATTAGTCGAGACGCCTGCAGCTCTGACTTTGATAGCATGGGCTTCTTACGTCACCGAAGTATACGCATGTAGACCCCCATGGTGATGTAGATGCACAAGGTGATGAATGGCAGGGCGGAGAAACCAACCTCAAGGATGCAATTTCCAATGTAGTTCTTATTTAGGCTAGCATGGAAGTTATAAGAATGAATGCACAATGAGAGCATCGTCAACTCTTACAGGTGATAATATAAGCTATCTAAGCTAAGTACCTAATGAGTGAGGACCAAGTCAACCTGAGTCGTTAACTTGATCGGGTCCAGCCCAGGGAAATGTATCTTACAAGGGATGGAGTTGGTGTACAGAAGATATGGATGAAACATCCCTAGCTTATGGCACTAATTGTGAGGTCGTCAAAGGCAAGCTGAGCAGACAGCCAGAGCTATGCCCGCCTTCCTCTGACAGTATGTCGCACTCCTGATGCGAACTGTCTCAATACCCAATGTTCCTCTCCAAGCTTCTACGAAATGTAGATGAACAATAACTGTACCAGTATCTCATGCATACATGATGTCCTTCATCGAAAGAGGTTACGAAACACATGTCCCTTCCCATCAGCTCTGGCAATTCCCACCTTTGCCCATCGACGAGAGGTCTTGCTCTTATCATCTGGCCCTTTGCAATTATTCTCCTTAACCAGAGTACAGTTTGGCGAGCTCCCTGCTGTGTAAGACCGAGCCAAGTGCCCACTGTTGGCCGAAGCCTTTCGTGGAGCAAGAGATGCGAAGTCCTTTTCATCGGTCGGCCTGGAAACAGATCCTATGACTAACGGCTCCGGGTGAAAAACGTTCGCTATATCGAGAGTATTCTCGAGCTCTAACTTCGGGATGGGCTTATCAAAAGGAGGCAATTTTGGGCTGCATACCTGGTGCTGATTTCCCACCTTCAATGCTTGCGAGTCTAGCAAGTCCTCCTCGATCACCGGAACAGCTTCGAGGCCTTGGTTATCCTCTAATTTGAAAGGTTCTCCATCAGCTGGATCCGTGAGAGAAATAGATCTCTGGCCCAAGCTACCGGATCTCTTGCCAAAGGAGCTCGCCAGGCTAGCAACACTCAATTTCTTCATGACTGATGAGGCCCTTACCAAGTGGTCACTTCGAGACCGACTGGCCATACCGGGAAAGGGCAGAATACCTCGGCTCCATACATCTCCCAGTTGAGCTTCAAGCCGAGCTCTTTCCGCTCGGGCGGGAGCAAGGACAGGCAGTCTCGAGGTTGTATTTGTGCATAACAGAGACTGTGAACGATTGATAGCCGTTGAAGAGGAGCCATGATTCGTTCCATCCTTCAGGACAGTTGTGTTTTTGAGAATTACTTGATAGAGGGGAGACTTGGCTCCTACAGTAGTTGCTCGGTGAATTGAAAGGCGCCGAGCCACAGTTCCTGGAAACATTGATTAGCTTAAGTTGGAACGTAAAGTAAGCGCCCTAGAAATTACCTGGCTTTCCAAAAACAGTACCCAGGCTTTTAATATTGAGCTCCAGTGAGCTGAACGTCGTTGCATCTCTCATTTCCTGCTCATCTTTCCTCGGCTGAGATAATCGTGAGCGCCACTCTGACTCCTCCTTGGGAGAACATGCGGTTAAAATCAATTCATATAGCTGCTGGTTGCACTCAAAGACAAGTTTCCAGGAGAAAGGGGCCGTGTGGCATTGTAGTCCTGTTTCTCTCTTAGTTAGGAATACCGCTTCGGCGATGAAATGACAACACTCACCTCTTCCATTATCGACTTCTTCAATTCTCGAGGCAAGAAGATTGACGCTAGCCACGATTGTGTAGTATGGATCGGCTCTACCTGCCGTAGCTAGACACATTACATTCCGGTAGAGAAGACAGATCAGGTATTTTCCATCAACCCCGACTGTCGTTTGCCAGCACACATGTAAGACGCCACACAGCTCGATACGCCCAAATGTACGTATTTGGTTTCTGGTTGCGGCATCCAAGTTCTTAATAAGGTATTAGTATTGTGCAGAAATCGTATGGGTTGCAGATGAAAACATACTCTATGGGGGAAAACAAGGCGATCTTGCAAGAGCCAAGTCTTTTCGAGTGTGGTCTTGACTTCAGTATCGTCAGTCGCCTTGTTGATCTCAGCTGTCGCTTCCCGTAGCCTAGAAAGAGCACTTTCAATTTCCATATGGGAATTTGGGCAGTCAAATACGGGTGTATATTTGAGAAGTTCGGCAAACAGAAGGGGGTATTTGCAAATCCTCTGTACTGGCTACGTGGATCTGTTAACAACTTTGGATCATCATGAGCAGAAGCCGGCAAGAACTAACCTTTACAAGAAGGTCATTAAGAGTCAGAGATTTTCGTGTTGTGTCAAGCAGATGTTTAGCTGACCCCAAGGTCGATGCTAGAGCCTCCAAACCTCTTTGGTATGTATCCCACTCAGGCATAGCCTGGGGGGCTGAAGCAACATCTTTGACCATCATCTCGTATTTCGCACCATATTCCTTATATATGAAGAAGCGATTCACCTGGACATATTAACCAAATTATCCTAGGGCCACACACACAGAGGCGGCTGCCGAGTGGGACGATGGATGAATTGCGTACCCTTCTTGTAAATATCCTTGCCACCTCTGCAACAATTTGTGGCTCAGTGTCCATTCCAGGAGATGCTTGAAGCAACGGACCGCTTTTGTCATGCTTAGGGACTGCATCGAGACTCCTCCACCGCCTGTGAGCCGGGTGCGTTGGCATCTGGCTTAGCGATACGCTAGCTTCAGTCTGAGTGTACTCTGAAAGTGGTACAACGCGATGAAGTTCTCCAAGTATTTCCTCGTGAAGCTCAATTATCTCTGCCAGGTTCCGATTGATTGAGGCGCGAAGGCCGCCTTGTAGAGTTGGTAAAGAGGCGAGAATCGTAACATATACCTGATATCAAGTTAGCAGGAAGTGATTTCTCGAGGAAACAGGACATCTAACATTTTTCAGAAATCGAATATCGCCAATATAGCATTCTTCGGTGTTTATAAGTTCCTCTAATATGCGCCGACGCTGGAGCGAGCGCCCAACCATGGCAGCATCGAGGACTACTGTTCTGTCCGGACCAAGGCTATCTTCAGACAGTCTCGGTCCAGCTATCGAGCCTCTGCTACTCCTGTCTGTTTTCGAAAGACGGAATGATCGTGTTGTATTCCTCCTGGATCGCGTCACTGTGCTTGCACTGGCAAGGCTGACACTAGCACTCCGGATAGCGGAAACAAAATGAAAGGACGATCCTGAAGAAGACGCCCGATGACCAAGGCTTCGCAGAGATAACTTCTCCTGAGTATCGTATGGCGTGAGGCCCTGGTGGCTAAAATTGCCGGGAACGGGCACAGACTGCATTCGCACTGCTTTACGGCGGAGGGATTGCATCCATTTCTGGAAAGGTGCCTTTCTCTGGGGTTTATAGTCGAAGGAGGGAATTGGTTGAGTGGCCGGTTGCTCCAAGCCAGCGGAATTGCTGGAGGCTGCCTCAGGTTGTGGACAGGATGCTTCTCTCGAAGAATTGTCCCCAATCGCCACTAAGAGAGGGTCGAAACTGGCGAGAGAAAAAGAGGATGCGATAATATCTGAATCTGAACATGGAATAAGGTGGCTTGGTTTTGGGTCTGAAGCCTTCACCGTCTCCGGGATGCTGGGGGCCAAGAAGCTGGATTGCCGAGAACTAAGAAATGCTCTATGATGGGTGTAAGATGACGAATCGACGAGAGCCATGCTGAAGACGAAGAGGTCCAAAACGAGCGAGACAAAAAATCTCAGGGAGACGAGGATTCCAAAATTGGCCCAAAGCCACCAAAAGTGCCAAAAAAGTTGACCCGACGACCGTACGGGATCATAACATGGCGATGTGAGGCAGGTGGAGAAAGGCATTTATAACACGATCCTGGGATCTTAGACAAATGTTTTATCTCAAGACGGGGCAGGAGAGTCTGGGTGTAGCTTACAGGAGGCAGGCAGCACGGCACAGCCTGGATGGAGAGGAGGAAGCAGCGACAAGCAGGTGGCAGAGGAGGGCAAACGCAATTCGACCAGGAGAGCAACGGGCGATTGCCTCTCGGGGTTTGTGTGAAGGGATATGGCTTTTCTTACAGCTACAACCCGCGAAGCCCGTGATCGGGTATGACTGGGGGACGAATGAAGCTCACCTACTTACAACATAGCTTCAACCTTGTCGGATCTCATGCGAGAATCATTGCCTTTTTGGCTCTTTCAGGTGCCGGAATCTCCAAGTCGCACAACACGGAACGCGTAACACGGAGACAAGGGCACCAAAACAAATAGTAAGCCTCAAGAGCTATGTTGAAAGATAGTGAAGGAAGAGTCGGGCTCTGGATCAATGTTTCAGGGAGGATGTGGGAAACATGAGAATACAACGAAAAGACAAAGCTGGATGAGCTATGAAGAGAGTGTGGGCTGAATTGGTGCAGGGACGAGCATGTTCACTTAAGGTGAGGTGAGGGCAGGGTGAGGAGAAACTGAGAAAACTGACTACGGGTCTAGCAGAAGGGCAAGGTCTTATTCTCTTGAGCAGTTGTCCTACCATGATGATGAAATCCAGCTGATCCGGAACGGGACCAGATCAAATTGGAAACTTTATGGCTTGCAGATCGACAGTGTGCTTGTGGCAACTCTCATTCGGCGAAGGAGCGATCGGGACATTGGCAGCTCATGGCAACCATCTCGACCAAAAGGTTCCGCGATCACAGCCACCAACAGGCGATCCAAGTGAGGGGCAAGCGCGTCCGCACTGCATGATGGAGGCTTAAGTTGAAGCTTCCGCTATTGAACTGCGGGGTTGCCTCATGCAAGCCTTAGGTCGAGACGCATATATTTTGGAATTGTGGGTGCCTGATATCAATGGGCATCTCCGACTCTGTATCCGTTGGTTCTATGCGGGATGGCTTACAGCTTGCAGAGGTTGTCTAGGACACGACGGTTATCTGTGTGGCAGATTCGGAAACCACCCCGAGGCCTGGCTGGTTGGTCAATGGAAATCCTGAAACGGCGCATTGTGCATCAGGCTGCAGACAGGATCGTCAGATGAGAGCTATAGACTCCGAAGATGAGCAAGCCATCAATTCGGGTTGCCGGGGTAGGAAGAAGGCTTGCGCCCTCACGTCCGATCTGGGGAAATAGGCTTTGTGTGTTCACCTGTTGACGCCATGCAGAGTCACAAGTCAATGCCTATCTGTATCTACCAATCGATCAGCACGATTCCGCGATGTGGTAGTTGGGCGTGGGAAGTGTGGAAAAGCAAGTTGGTGAAATGAAACATGGCACACTAAAGCTCTTTTCGCGCAAGGCACGGACCTCGTTTCTATCTAAGGTAAGCGCAATACTAAGATAATAATAGATTATTCTACGATATTTAGCTTGATATCATATTTATCGCTAGGTTATTCCTTGATATTATGCTGAAATTCAACGCTGAAGTGTCTTCCTAGACGTGCCACGTTTTATCCCAGTTGCTTGAAAAACTACAAAATGAAGTAGCCAGGGTTCGTGTCAACACGCCCTCCCTGTCACTCCCGTCATGTGGCCTGTCTGCACACGAGGCTACGTAGATCGCTAGTTATTGCAACTAGCACCTGGAAGAGCCTTTGGAAAAGCGGCCGACCTACAGTAAGGTTCAGCCGAGCACAAACCCCCGAAATCCCCAGAAACAGATGCCGACATGAGTGGAGGTAGCATGGATCTGTAAGCTGTAACCCTTCGTACATGAAAAGGCTTTCGATCGGTATTTAATGACGTAGCACCGTGGACCAAAGGTGTAGGGTAAGTGAGAATATGCTGGTTCTGAGCAAGGTCGCGGCGGGGAGCATTTCCAGTATCACCAAGATTCTCAAGAGCAGTTTGCTGTGTTGTCCTCAATTATTTTAGAGTGATGGCGAGGACCGGTTAAAAAGCAGCACTCGGGATTACAAATAAAGTTCTAGTCCCTTAGTGCCGCCGAGCGGTTGATAGGTGCATTACTTACAATCCTATCGGTACTGGCTACTCGTCTGAGCCTAGCTGCCGGCCTGGTTCAGACTCGAGAGGGTTGATATTAGTCCGCACCAACTCGCTACTCCGCAAGAGGCAGGAAACGATATCTGAAAAATCAAAAGCTGTCACTCCTCAGCTGTGATCATATCGGCCTTCTATCGGCCTTCGAGCATCGAGTCGAGTAGGCATGTACTTGCAGGCTTGGCGGGGTGGCCTCGTCCACGCGTACCTTGCCTTACCGACTGCCCAGTAAGGCAAAGATACCTGGCCTCCATCGCAGGAGGAGTTTAGCGCCCCAACTTTATCGTGGGGCGCTGGAGATGCCCAGAGAGTCAGCGCCGATTAGGCGCGCCCAGGCCACTAATCTCAGTCGGCAGGCCCCCCATAGGTCTGCGTGGAAAAAAAAGACAACTGAACACGTTGAGGTTTCGGCTTCCGGCAGCCATCCTCCGTACAGGTAAGCAGTTCCCAAGGCGCCCATCCTGGGAGGAATTATTTCATTACTCGTACAAGCGGGCTGAACTTCTCTTGATCACGCAAGGTCTTTTGGTTCTGACGAATATTTCGAGCCTCGCCATGCCGAGCCACTGAGCAGCCCTTCCAGAAGCCAGTCATTTCGGTATCCCTTCCAGCCAGTCCCTACCCGAGTAATCTCCGGCGCATCGCTCAACTCTCCAGCCCTGCTGCCTCTTCATTCCACCATCGTCGCAACATGGAGAGCGCCTTTGCCCGTCCAATTCAGGACGTGCTGCACGAGTTCAGGGTTGACCCTGACGCTGGTTTGACAGACAGCCAGGTCAGCGAATCTCGGAGCAAGCATGGCAGCAATTGTGAGTCTAGACCTGTTGCCGCCTTGCCATATGCAATGTGTCTTGTGCATCTCCCGACTTTATGCTGATGCCTTGTGTGTTGTACAGCCATTCCAGAGGAACCCCCCACCCCGATTTGGGAACTCATTCTCGAACAATTCAAGGATCAACTCGTCATCATTCTCCTCGGATCAGCTGCCGTATCATTTGTTCTCGCTCTCCTCGAAGATGAGGGTGGCTGGAGCGCCTTCGTCGATCCTGCGGTGGTGAGTTGCCTTGCCCAGACCGATCGTAAATGCGCTTCGTTCAGGTACTGATATATTGTCCCACGACACTAGATTCTCACTATTCTTATCCTCAACGCCGTCGTCGGAGTTTCTCAAGAAAGCAGTGCTGAGAAGGCTATTGCTGCCCTCCAAGAATACTCGGCCAACGAGGCCAACGTAATTCGCAATGATGGACACGTTTCCCGAGTAAAGGCCGACGAGTTGGTTCCTGGTGATATTGTCACCGTTGCCGTGGGGAATCGTATTCCTGCGGATTGCCGAGTCATTGCTATCGAGAGCAATAGCTTTTCCGTCGATCAGGCTATTCTTACTGGAGAAAGTGAAAGTGTTGGCAAGGATCACTCTGCGGTTGTCAAGGACACCAAAGCTGTCAAGCAGGACCAAGTCAACATGCTCTTCTCTGGTACCACCGTCGTTACGGGCCGCGCCAAGGCTGTCGTCGTTCTTACAGGCCCCAACACTGCCATCGGTGACATTCACGAGAGCATCACTGCCCAAATCTCAGAGCCCACCCCACTGAAGCAGAAGCTGAATGACTTTGGCGACAAGCTTGCCAAGGTTATCACCGTCATTTGCATTCTCGTATGGCTGATCAACATTCCCAACTTCAACGACCCAAGCCACGGCTCCTGGGCCAAGGGTGCCATCTACTACCTCAAGATTGCCGTCTCCCTAGGAGTCGCGGCTATCCCCGAAGGTCTGGCTGTCGTCATCACCACCTGCCTGGCTCTGGGTACTCGCAAGATGGCCGCCAAGAATGCCGTCGTCCGTAGCCTTCCCTCCGTGGAGACACTCGGAAGCTGCAGCGTTATCTGCTCTGACAAGACTGGCACACTCACCACCAACCAGATGAGTGTCAACAAAGTTGTATACCTCAATGAGACTGGTTCTGATCTGGTGGAGCTCGATGTGGAGGGCACTACTTTCGCGCCAAAGGGAGCTATCAAGTCCAATGGCAAGGCAGTTGAAGGCATCACTGAAAGCTCTGAGACAGTCCGCCAGATTGCTGAGGTTGCTGCTGTTTGCAATGATGCCAGGCTCGCTTATGATTCTCGCACTGGCGCATTTTCCAACGTTGGTGAGGCAACTGAGGGTGCCCTCAGGGTTCTGGTTGAGAAGCTTGGGCCCTGTGCTCCCTCCAGCACCCACCCTGATGATTGTGTCCACTACGCCAACTCTACCTATGAGAAGCGCTTGCCTCGAATTTCCACCTATGAGTTCTCGCGAGACCGCAAGAGCATGTCTGTGCTTGTCAAGGATGGCAAGCAGCAGAGGCTTCTTGTCAAGGGTGCCCCTGAATCTATCATTGATCGTTGTTCTCATGTTGTGCTTGGTGCCGCCGGTAAGAAGGTTGCTATCAACAAGAAGCTCTCAGAGACTCTTTTGAGGGAGGTTGTCGAGTATGGCAACCGTGGTCTACGCGTAATTGCTCTCGCCTCGGTTGATGACGCCTCCAAGAATCCCCTTACGAAGACGGCTAAGACAACCGAGCAGTATCTTCAGCTCGAGCAGAACATGACTCTTATTGGTTTGGTCGGTATGCTTGACCCTCCCAGAGAGGAGGTCCCTCGCTCTATTCGCCAATGCAAGGAAGCCGGTATCAGGGTTATTGTTATCACTGGAGACAACCGAA